AGCATTGGTTGGGTATCGACGGGTTGCTCTCCATCTTGGATGGGTGCCTTGTATTGTCGGGCCGCAAGGTTACTCACCGGCTTCCGAATCGGTGTGAGAATATCGGTCGTTTTGGTTGGGACCTTCGCCTTCTTGCATAAGCCGGTGACGAGGCAAGGGAAATAAAACCCTTTGGCGTTGTTGACCATGGAGATCCAAAAACGTTCGGCTATGATTTCGCCAATGTTGATCGGTGTGCCCTTTAGAATGTAGTATGCAAGAGCGCACCGTTCGGAGTCCACGTGAGTCCACGAGCGGGTGGGAAGGAGGTTGGCACATATGAAAGTAAGGCACGCCTTGCCTACTTGGTGGATGCATTTCCACTCTAACTCGTATGCCTCCTCGGTTGAGAGTTCGGACCAAATTGGGGGTCCATCGCACAACACCTCGGCGAGTTGATCTCTTGTGACCGCAAGTTGCATTTGCTCCCAATTGAATGGCGCATGTCGGAGGTGATAAAAGGAGTTGATGGCTTGGGCAAACCAATCGACCTGCTTTCCTCGAACCGTGCTCGATTTCCGATCCGTTGTTAGGAGGATACGGGTGTTGGCGTAGAACTCGCGGACCAACGATATGTTGATCGACCCCTCCGGTTCCAATAATGCTTGCCACCCTCGTCGTAGGAATTCTTGGTGCAACGGCGCAAATTGTGGAAGGGTGATCTCATATGCACGCTCCGTCACAAGTTTCTTCACTTTTTGCTTCTCAAATCGAGCACTGGCGCCTTCGACACAAAAAGCATCGTCGTCGGGGGTTGGAATTTGGTTGGTTTTCTTGCCCTTCCGCTTGCCTTTTGAAGTGCCTTCGCCTTGTGAAGTGCCTTCGCCTTGTGAAGTGCCCTCCCCGTCACGTCCTCGTTTCCCCATGATGTGATAATGCGTGTGGAAGGGATTTGAAGTGAGTTTTTTTTTCAAAATTTCCCCCAAACTTGACTCCACACAAATAGCAAATTTGACCCCAAAGTGGATCTCTCTTGCAATACCCGAAATATCCGCCACCAACGCAGCGTGCCTCGACTCATACTCACTGTCATCACGTGTGACTCCTTCAGAAAATTTCGCAATACGGAACTTAAAATCTTATGATTCACTATTCAATTCATTTATACCTAAGGTGATTCAAAAGTTAAAATAAATCTTAAATACCAGAAAATCGATCAATTTTGACGATTTACGATTTAAGAAACATTTTATTTATTATATTATTTATCATAAACTTGGGATATTTACAGTTTTGGTCCTTGTATTATATACTATTTTTTAATTTTGGTTCTTAAACCAGAAATACACCCCATGTGGGTTCAATTTGTAATTTCTAGAAATCTACCACTCTACCTGAAAAAGTTCTGAAAATTGCAGAATCACCCATACACTTACTCATTTTTCCTGCCGCTCTACCCACATTACAAATTTGACCCCAAAGTGGATCTCTCTTGCAATATCTGAAATATCCGCCACCAACACAGCCGGCTTCGACTCCTCCTCGGCTGTAACAATGTGTGACTCATTTACAAAAAATCGCAATACCGAGCCTAAAATCTTATGATTTAAGATTCAAATCGTACGATTTATTTCATTCATACCTAGGTCGGGTCAAATATTGAAATAAATCATTAATACCAACAAATCTATCAAATTTTACTATTTACGATTTAAGAAAACTTTATTTATTATATTATTTATAATAACTTCGGATATTTACAATTTCAGTCCCTGTATTATATATCATTTGTAATTTTTGTCCCTAAATCGGTAATGCCCCCTGACTGAAACAGTTCTGAAAGAGTGGGGGTCAATTTGTAATTTCTTGAAACCCACCTCCCTGACTGAAACAGTTTTGAAATTTGCAAAATTACCTCTGTACTTATTCTATCTTCTCACCAGCTCCACCAAAATTGCAAATTTAACCCCAAAGTGGATCTCTCTTGCAATATCCGAAATATCTGCCACAAAAGCAACATGCTTCAACTCCTCCTCGACTGTAATGACGTGTGACTCATTTACAGAAATTCGCAATACCGAGCCTATAATCTTATAATTTAAGCTTTAAATCGTACGATTCATTTCATTCATACCTAAGTCGATTCAAATGATAAAATAAATCTTCAATAGCACAAATCGATCAAATTTTACGATTTACGAAAACTTTAATTTATTATAATATTTATAATAAACTTGGGATGATTACTCTATGGGTCCTTATTTATACACCATTTTTAAATCTGCTCCTTAAACCGGAAATGCCCCCAAAGTGGGGGTCAATTAGTAATTTATGGAAATCCACTTCCCTTGCTGAAATAGTTTTGAAAATTGCAAAATCACTCCTATACTTACTCCATCTTCATAGCCGCTCTACCCAAATTGCAAATTTGACCCAAAGTGGATCCCTCTTGTAATATCCGAAATATCCGCCACCAACGCAGCCGACTTCGACTCCTCCTCGGCTGTAACAATGTGTGACTCATTTACGAAAAATCGCAATACCGAGCCTAAAATCTTATGATTACAGATTCAAATCGTACGATTTATTTCATTCATACCTAGGCCTAGGGGTGGAAATTGGAACGAAAATTCCGATTTCCGCCGAATCCGATCCGAAATATTCCGATTTTGGAACGACTTTTTCAATTCCGAATTCCGAAAATTCCGAAAAAAATCGGATCAGAATCGGAAATACATAACATAATTTCAGAATTTCCGATCGAAATTATTCCGATTATTTCGGTTTTCCAATTATTATTAATATTTATTACTATATATAATATATATTATATGACTATATCTAGTTCTGTACTAATTACTAACTATATATATTAGTATATTACTAATATTTTTTCCGATTATTATATATATATATATATATATATATATATATATATATATATATATATATATATATATATATATATATATATATATATGGATATCCGACTCTCTCTCTCAGCAGTCATCGACCTTTCTTTCTCCCCACCACCACCAGCGCCTGCACCGACGACCACGACCACCAGTGCCTCCTGATTCTCCGACGACCACCACCACTAGCGCATCTCGGCTCTCCGACGAACACCACCACCACCAGCGCCTCCCAATTCTCCGACGACCACCACCACTTGCGCCTCCCGATTCTCCAACCACCACCATCGCCACCAGGCCTCCCGGCTCTCTGAAGACCACCACCACCAGCGCCTCCCGGCTCTCCGACGACCACCACCAACGTATTTGTGTGAGTCTCTTGTATTTGTGAAGATTACTTGTTTGATGTTTCTTTTTGCAATTTGGCTACTGTGTCTCGGTGATCAATTTTTCCCTTTTTTTTTTTTTTTTTTTGGGAAAATTCCGAAAAATTCCGAAAATTGTTCTTGTCTGAGCATCTTTTTGTTAGATTTGGTATTAGATCTGCAAACCTGAGAAGAAATTCTTAAAAAAAATTGTTCTTGTCTGAACATTAAAAGAAGTGATTTTTTAGCTGTTAGTTTCCTACAGATCTGTATAGTTTTCTTCTCAAAATTATTATACAAAATATTTTTTCCGGGAGAACAAGTCAAAAATTCCGGCCGGCTGTTCCGATCGGAGTTTATTTCGTTGACCGGATCTTAACCTCCAACTAATATATTTGGGCCTAATTCCTTAATACAATTCAGACCCAGTTGTTCAGGCCCAACTCCTTGTAACTTAATTTCCTTTTTTCCTAATTTAATTGCACAGCCAGAAACGGTGTCGTTTGAGGTCTTCACAAATTCCCAGTTTCTTTCTAAAACAATTCTCCGTTCCATCCACTATCGCCGACGTCACTCTCGCCGTCGACGCCGCCAGAGGTCATGACACAGTCAAGCAGCAGCCATTGGGTTTTATGGCAAGTTCAATAGCTAAAGTGGGCGTTAACTTGGCATCGGTTCTTCCACTTACCCTCGAACAAACACTAATCTCACTCATACGATCATGTAAAAACCCTAATCACCTCCTACAACTCCAACCCCAGATTATAACCAGTGCCATTGATTACAAGAGCCACATCACAAGCTCCCATTTCGTCTCAAAATGCTGCGAACTGAAGCTAATAAATCACGCCCGACAAGTGTTTGATAGATTGCCTGAACGGAGCCATACGTCGCTTTGGAATGTCATGTCGAAAGGGTATCTCCAAAATCACGCCTACAACGATGTGATGGTGTTGTTCGCTGATATGAGGAGGGAGAATGTGAATCCCAATTGCTACACACTACCGGTGGTCTTGAAATCGTGCTGCAAAGCGTTTGCTCTGAGAGAAGGCGAACAAGTGCATTCTGTCGCAATCAAGACAGGTTTCAAGTCGAATACTTACGTTGGTACTAATTTAATTGAGTTTTATTCGGGAGGTGGGCATGTGACGCGCGCTTACAGGGTTTTCACTGAAATGGTACTAAGAAACGTGGTTTCTTGGACTGCAATGATCAACGGGTATGTAGCCAACGGCGATCTGGTTTCGGCAAAGAGGCTTTTCGATTTGGCACCGGAGCGAGATGTTGTGTTGTGGAGTAGGATTGTTTCAGCCCATGCGGAGGCAGGAGATATGGTGGAGGCTAAGAGACTTTTCGACTTAATGCCGGGAAAAGATTTGATGTCTTACAACACGTTGTTGAATGGATATGCGAATAATGGAGATGTGGAGGGCTTCGAGAGAATATTCGAGAATATGGAGGAGAGGAATATTTTCTCGTGGAACGGACTTATTGGAGGATATGCTCACAACGGGCGTTTCGTTGAGGTTCTTGGTGCCTTTAAGAGGATGATAAGAGAGAGTGATGTGCAGCCTAATGATGCGACACTCGTTAGTGTGTTGGCTGCTTGTGCAAGATTAGGTTCCCTTGATTTCGGTAAATGGGTTCATAAATACGCCGAGAGATCGGGCTATAAAGGGAATGTTTACGTTTGCAACGGTTTAATGGACATGTACGCAAAGTGTGGGTTGGTTGAATGCTCGATTGATGTGTTCAATAGCATGGATAAGAAGGATTTAATATCTTGGAATACGATAATTAATGCCTTAGCAGTGCACGGTCACGGAGCGGATGCGTTGGAAATTTTCGGTGAGATGAAAAGTAGCGGAGAAAAACCAGATGGGATCACATTCATCGGCATATTGTGTGCTTGTTCGCATATGGGTTTAGTTAAGGATGGATTGGACCATTTTCACTCGATGAGGGACGAACACTCGATCGAACCTCAAATCGAGCATTACGGTTGTGTAGTCGACCTCTTGGCTCGAGGTGGGCTGTTGGAGCAAGCTTTGGAGTTCATTCGTAAGATGCCTATGGAAGCAGACGGTGTCGTATGGACTGCTTTACTTGCTGCTTCACGGGTTCATAAGAAAATCGAGTTTGCAGAACTGTCTCTTAAAAAACTCATCGAAATCGACCGCGAAAACCCTGCGAATTATGTTATGCTGTCGAATGTGTACGGCGAAGCACGAAAGTGGGAAGATTTGGCACGGTTGAAAGTTGCGATGAGGGACACGGGATCTAAGAAGGTGCCTGGGCTCAGCTCGATTCAGACCGACGATGAGATTGTTGAGTTCTATTGTTTTGACGAGAGGCATTTGAAAACGGAAGAGATATATTGCGCTCTTAGAGGATTGACAAAGCTGTTGAGATTATGTGGAGCAGATCCAACGGAACTTGAGTCGGGGAGTTAGGTATGCTGTACATCTACTGATTCCATCAATTTACCGTTAGTCAGTTTAGGCAGTAACGGGAACACGCTTGATTCCGTTAGTTTTAACGAAAAATTGATGAAAATGACTCGAAGTGTTGAATTTTTGAAATACGAGGGACCAAATGTGTTATTTGTGAACATGGGGGACCAAATGTGAAATCGGTGCAAACTTCAGGGATGAAAACTATAATTTTCCCACTATAATATTATCAGTTCTGTGATTTATATAAAGTTTATTCAATTATTGCCCATGAAACACGAGGTACAGAGTAAACTTTGAATCCCGAAAACTCATCAAATTATGTTCCGAAAATTCTCATGAATATTGCTACCTGTAGCTCGACAAGATCATATAAATACATTAAACATTTAAACTGTCATTATTCTCACTAAGAATCGATCTTGTGAACAAAATTGGGATGTGACGAACCGGACCCTCAGTTTTTTCTCGAATATCGGGTCCTGTTGAAGCATCGATCGATCTTGTGAACGAAAAATATATCGCGGTGGGTGTTCGGGGTTGAGTAAAAGTAAAATGATAATCATGCTTTTACAAAAAAAAATTGGTTCTCTTTTTTACTTTTATATTTACAGGGGATTAAGTGAAAAATATTGTACTTTTGCAGGGGGTGATGTGCTAAAAAACATAGTTAAATAAATAAAAAATTGGCCCACAAAAGTTTAGGGACTTGCTCTAAAAAGAAACAATAATTAGGGGACCTTAAGAATATAACAAAAACAACATGTGAAATTCCAGAAAGTACAACGCTAAATTTCAATTACGGCCCATAAATCGATTGTCAGTGAATCAAAATCTCAATCCGAAGTTTCAATTGTCCGTTTTCGATTATCGCAGGTTGAATTTTTGTATTCTCCCGACAAGGGCATAAAAAATTCCAGATGTCGGTGCTCAATCAACTTTTTAACAGAGGGCTTCTCGGACCAAAATGGTGAGTTCGTTCAATCAATCCATTTTTCAAGTCGAATTATTATCCCTAATTCCGAAGAATGAAAATTGAAAATCTCGATTTTTTTTTTTGATCTTCATTAGGGTTTGTAGTCCATCTTTTGTTTCACAATACTATTGTCTAAAAATCGGATCTTTCCGATATATGAATTGGGTCTGTGTAAGATTCTGTTATTTTCTTGTTTTTTTTTTTGGACAAATAAAAACTATGGGCTTTCCTGCATATAGAATGAATTATTAATCTGTTATTTTCTAGTTGGAGGAATCCAGTTTCAGAATTGATTATAATATTAGTGTTAATTGTAGATATTTTTAATCTGTTGTTTTTGTAGTAAAACATGCTTAACATTGGCAATATCGCGGATCAAGTTGTTGCAAAACAAGAGAGATTTGCAGACGAAGCTTATGAGAAAGGAAATCGCAGACTTTCTGCTTGCCGGCCAAGAAGCCATTGCTCGAATTAGGGTAATTCATTCATCTAGTGAATCTTCTACAAAGTCTCGTTTGTTCTATGATATTGCGCTAATTTCTTCTTTGATTTGTTGACCGTGTCTTTTGTTAGGTTGAGCATGTTATACGAGAACAGAACACTTGGGAGGCGTACGAGATATTGGAGTTGTTCTGCGAATTCGTTCTTGCCCGTGTACCTATTCTCGAAAGCCAGAGGTAAAAAAAAAAAAAAAAAAAAAAATTGATAGCTACCCTTTAATATTAATGTCTATTGAAACAACAAGGCTGCGTTTGGATTGAGGGATTTTAAATGAAGGGATTTGAAATTCCTCACAATTGGTAAAAAAAGAAAACGAAAAATTAGAGCTATGGATTTGAAATTCCTTATGAAACGACCCCATCCATACAAACCCAACCGATTTGCTATTATGGATTTCAAAATCCCTCCTTCCAATTGCACCCTAATTTATTTGCTTGAATGTGAACAACTTAGGTTTGGCAATGGCTTTCTTATGCACATTTTCTTGAATTATAACGACACTAACTTGTTATACCCCTCAGTTTCAAATTAACTCTCGCTTTAGATATTCTTTTTAGTTGCAAGGGTAAATTACAATTACCCCTGAGGTATGATAAAATTACGAAAACCACCCTCATGTTTTGGTAATTACAAAAAATCCCCCTCAACTATAAATTTTCTTACACGTCCACCCTTGCGGTTTCAAATTTAGTGGAATCTTCTTGATGATATGGAATATTATACTTTTGTACTCGTTTTATCCCATTCGAGCTCCATATTTTGAAGCAAAATGATTATAAGATGTGTGTTTGGGCTTATATATACCAGATTGTGGTGCATAAGAAACTGTATTTTTACACAAAACGAGTACAAACCTAGAGCACATTTTACGGAATGTAGATGATTATGTTGAATTTGACACCATAAGAGTGGATGTGTAAGAAGATTCGTAGTTGAGGGGTAGATGTAACGATCCAAACAAAAGGGGGCTTTTCATAATTTGACCATACTTCAGGGGTGGTTGTAATTTACCCTTAGTTGCAATGATGCATTTATTAACCTTTTCTCAATAATGGGGAGAGAATTAGTAGTGATAGGAATAACAAGAAAGGGTATTTTAGTCTATTAAATGCATTTTCCTTAAAGGAGAGATAATAAGAAAGGACGCAGTAAATAAGAAAACTCTTTCGTTTCTAATTGTAAACAGTTCCGTAATTCGTTTTAGCAATGTTAATGCTTAAAATAAAACAGGGAATGCCCTACGGAGTTGAGGGAAGCAGTTGCGAGCATAATATTTTCAGCTCCAAGATGTTCGGATTTGCCAGATTTATTGCATGTCAGGAATTTATTCGCTGCAAAATATGGGAAAGAGTTTATAGCTGCTGCATCTGAGCTTCGCCCCGATGCCAGAGTCAACCGTACAGTTAAATCGACTTTGACTTTTTTTTCCTTCATAGGGACTATTTTATACCATATTTTTCTTTAATATAAATTGGATATACAGTAGAACCTCGATTAATTAATACTCGATAAATTAATAACCTCGCTTAAATAATAGTTTTTTATTCGGTAAAAACCTTCTAAATTATTAGTTCGATAATTTAATATTTCGGTAAATTAATAGAATTTTGCTAGTCCTGACTGTATTAATTTATAGAGGTTTAATTGTATTTTGTACTTTTCTCCAGATAATTGAAAAGCTTTCGGTGAGTGCTCCACCTACAGATGTAAAGATTAAAGTACTAAAGGAAATTGCACGTGAATATAACATCGATTGGGATTCGACCGAAACTGAAACTGAACTCAGCAAAAAACCCGAGGATCTTTTGGTAACCCTCATTTTCCCAGACTTCTTTCTTTTCTGGTATTATTAAGGGTGTGTTTGCAAAAACTTATGCATAAGCAGAAGTCAGTGATTGTTAATAAAGCTGGAAATAATTGAATCAACTTTAAGCAATTAATTTGGAAGTTGAAAATAAGCTTTAAGCTTATTGTGTGAAATTGTGTTCAATGTCGTTAATCTGTTAGTGATGTGAGTCATTTAATATTTATATGACCAACAAAGTACAAAAAAAGTCGATGGAGGATGCTTATGAAATTATAGCTTAAAGCAGCTTATTTTATGACAAGCAAAAACAAAAGCTGCACTTGCAAACACTCTAAAAAAACTGATAATGAGCCAAAGAAAAAAAAAGCTCATAATCACTTTTCAAAAGATGTAATGTGTATCTATCTATCTATCTATCTACTATCTTAATTTTTCGATATGGCTATATCGTGCAGAATGGACCGAAACAAATAGCTGTACAACCTCAGACACAATCGAGGCTGAATTCGACTGCTAAGTCTTCTTTGATTGGTAAAAAAGGACAACAAAACTCGGAATATTCTCCCACTTATACCAGCAGCAGTCCTCGTGTGGGTCCCACATTAACAGAATCATCGAATGTGAAACCGATAGCCGAGATCCAGAGCATAAGTTGGGAATCGTCTGATGCAATGCAAAGGGCTCGCACTGCCATTGCTGCAGCAGATCGTGCCTCTGCTGCTGCACGCGCTGCTGCTCAGTTGGTAAATTTCAAATTAAACGATCAGAAAATTTAAGATATATATATTTTCAAATTAAATTTTTTTTCCAACTTTTGTTTGGACGAGGTTTTTTTTTATTGAGAAAACAACTAAAACAATTAATTAATGGTGTATATTTAATTATTTATTAGTCGATTTTCTTAATATATATGTGTGTCGAAATCTTAAACGACAAATAATTTGAAACACGGAGAAACGTAGTTTCCGAAATATAAAGGCAGACAAAGTTACACGTGAATAAGTTGTCCAACTGTTGATGGTCTGGAAAAGACATAAGAGTATAATTAATCACAGAAATGTGAAAAGAAATGCTCTGTTGTGATTTGTGATTGAACAAGCAGAAAAGAAATCCTTTCTTTCATGCTAACACAAATTGGTGATCTTGTTTTTATTCAAGGTTTTTATTAATGTTTTACAGGTAATTGTGAAACTCATATACCTATATTACTATTTCTTTTGTTTCAAATTATCATCCCCTACTTTGTATTTCAAATGCTGCATTAAATGTTGTATTTTTTTTTTTCTGTTTTAACCCTATTAATTTTACTTATAACTACTCCCTCTGTCTTATATTATATGTCTTTTTAGAGAGTTTTTTTTGTCCTCAATTATTTGTCATTTTATATTTTCAATGAAGCATTAATTGCATTATTTTCAATTTTACCCTTAATCACTCTTAATTAATTAGTTGAGAATCAATTAATCTCGAGGATATATTAGTAATTTTATCTGTCTTTTTACTATAATTTATGCACATTTATTGATTTTCTTAATATGTGCAAAACAACCCAGAACGACATTTAAATTGGGACGGAGGGAGTATTAATTATCTCTTATAAATCATTAAATGATCAAGTTGTAGTCCTTTTTTATTTGTTTTTTTTTCCCCCTAAAATCAAGTCACATTTATTGAAATTTTTAATACTTGTGCAAAACATCAAAAGTGAAAATAAACACTTATTTAGAAACGGAGCGAGTATTACCGAATATTTATATAGCATGAAAACTTCAACTTTTTAACGTTTCTGTTTTTCGGACACTTTTCGTGCCCGACACTCTATGTCACATGCCGGACACCTTATGGGTCATTTTGCAATTTCTAAAAAGTTAGATACATGTTTGAATAGCAAGTTTTCAAATATTTGTGTTGTTTCCCTAATTATTTACATGATTTAATGATCATAAGCAAATTGATAGTTGATAGTAAAATTTATTTTGAATATGTTTGTATGTAAATATATAAAAATAATTTATATATAAATAAAAACTTATATATGTTTAAATAGCATTATTTATAAATATACCCTTATATTTTTAATATTTATACGTTTCCCCTAAATCTCGGTCTAGGAAAGAATAAACACTAGTAGAAAAATTGCTTTTTACTACGATCATTAACGGTAGCAAAAGGTATCAAATTCGTAGTAAAAAGTCTTTTGCTACGAATTTACCCCGTAGCAGATACGAGCGTGACAAAAGCTTTGCTACGGTAAATGGCCGTACAAAATACTTTTTTGCTACGGTAAATCCTAGTATTTACTACGACTTCAAGATTATTCCGTAGTAAAAAATACCTTTTATTACGGTTTTCACCGTAGCAAACAAATTCCTAATAATAAGCAAATTTTCTACTAGTGAATTGAACCAAGATAGGAAAGATCAATGGAAAAGTCTACTGTATAAACAAATATAAAAAACTCTATTAGTGTTATGTTTTGGCAATCAATATGAACTTCTTACTGAATCTATCTCTCTCTCTCTCTCACTTTCATATCT